AAAAACAGCCTATTTCTAGTGCTAATTAGATAAATAGTTCTGACCAATATCCGGAAATTTTGTACTGCATCCTGTTATTTTCAAATTTTTATCAGTAAAATTAAAATAAATGATCGAATGTACTTAATTATAAAGAAAAGCGCAAAATTCTAAAACTTTCAAGTATTCTATAAAGTGCATGTTCAAAACTCACATATTAATAGAAAAAATAAAAACATGGCTTTATTCTTTGACTTTATATAAATAACTGGTAAAAAATTTCAAGGCGATTGCATGCCTACATAATAAGTTAATACATTTTAAAATATCTAAAATATCGATTTTCATATAAATTAATAAAATCCGATAAATTAGGAGTAAATCGTAAATCATTATTATGTAGTAATATCTGTGTAATAGAACAATAGTATAATGTAAAGTCTACTGTTATAGAACTATAGCGATAGTATAATTTCAAGATTATGAGACTTTACTTAGAAGACGAACTTACTGTCATCTATTGGACCGTGTAAAGTTATACTGTAAAGTAAGATAATTGGAACGTTTTTTGCTTAAGACGTTAGATTCAAATAAACTTTTATTACTAGCTGTATAACTTTTATTACTAGCTGTATAGTTTGAATAAGTACAGGCTCTTTAGTGACAAAAGATTTAGGTTTAATATTTAGATTTGTCAGTCTTTGTAGCTATAAATTTAAATTTTTGGTTTATACATTATTGCATTGTGTAAATTGCGAATTTATTAATAATAAAGATCACATTTATTGACTTTATGTGTATCAATCAATTCTCTAAATATACATAATAAAATATTATATACAGATTTGTTAGTTTGAAAGTTTTTTGATATGAAGTTTTCTCTTGTTTTCTAGTAATCTTAGAATGATGAATTTTAAAAATTATGTAATTTGATTGGCTAATTATCATGGGAAATTACCGATAGATCATACAAATATTGTCCAATTAAAATGAACTTTCATCATGCTCAGCTTTATTGACATAACAAAGTAAATTAAAGGAAAAAAATTCATTCTAAAAAAGTATTCTCTTCTTCTTTTTAATAAATCTTGATATTTTTGAAGAAGAACCGGTATTATTTGCTTGTTCCTCTTTCTCCTCGGAAGATTGGCCCTATTTGATTCATCAATATGGCTCAAGAGATTGTGCAATATGTAAGCCACAGAGTTCTTACAATTGATACAACTATTGTTATACGAATTTGTAATGGAATTCTCGCAGATGTGATTGGGCGATATATGTGTAAGGAAGACTCCTTCCTCATAGCATACATCTTCAGTATATCACCTATAAAGTTTTGTTAGAATTATTTTTAAGAAATAGATTACAAAACAATACATACCAGTGGCAGTGTTGTCACGGGACAGTTGTGGACAGTAAGTTTGGACACTTTGAACAATTTTGGACAATTAAATAAATTAAAATTACTCAAAATTTT